GTGCGACAAACTCTTGCAGAGAGGGTGGTTTGGGCCTGGAATGTGCTGCCTGTAAGTGCGGTGGAAGCAGGTTAAGTGAGTTCATAGAATCCCTACAGTGTGGAAACAGGCCCTCGGCCCACAGGACATCCCACCTAATCTACGCATCCCTGAACGCTTGGCAATTTAGCATGGCCAATCCACCTAACCTGCACATCTTTGGACTGTGGGAGAAAACCGGAGCTGCTGGAGGAAACCCACGCAGACATGGGGAGAAAGTGCAAACTCCATACAGTCGCCCAAGGGTGGAATCGAACCAGGGTTCCTGGCGCTGTGAGGCAGCTGTGCTAATCACTGAGCCACCGTGCAGCCCCAAAAAAGACTAGCAGAGGAGAACTTGCATTCCCTGACAGGGAATCAAACCTGGGCCGTGGTGGTGATAGCGCTGAATCCTTACCACTAGACTACCAGGGAAGACAAAGACTATTATTCAATGATTTACATAGAAAAATAGAAAACAGGAGCAAAAGCGGGCCATTCAGCCCTTTTAGGCTGCACTGCTATTGAATATAATCGTAGCTAATCGTCCAACTTCATTCCTTGAAAACATTGTGTTTTAGTTGCAGGGAGTTTCCCAGGCTCACCGAGCCCTAATGGCTGACCCCTATTTCTAGACTCCTTTCTGAACATTCTTCCTGTGTAGTCCTGTTAGATTTGAAAAAGTTTGACATTTCTTCTCCCGTACCCTACCCTTCATCTTTCCAAACTCTAGTGAATATAGTTTTAACCAATCCAGTCTTTTTACATATATTAGTCCTGCCATCTCAGGAGTCAGTCTAGTAAACCTCTGTTTCACTCCCTTCATAGCCAGAACATCCTTACTCTGGTAAGGAAACCAAAATCGGACACAGTGCTCCAGGTGTGGTCTCACGGAGCCCCTGTACAGTTACAGCAAAAAAAAATCATGTTTCTGTACCTGAATCCTTTCACAATGAAGGCCAACATGCCATTCGCTGCCTGCTGTACTGCATGCATAGTTTCAAAGTACAAGGGCACTCAGATCATACCTTTCCCTTAACCTGTTGCTCTTTAGATGATTGCCTTCCTGCATTTGTGGTCAAAGTTAAGAAGCTCACATTTATTCACATTATACTGCATGTGCAGTGCAATTGCCCATCACTCAACTCGCTGCACTTCTGCTGCATCTTCATAGTTCATCCTGCCAGTCAGTTTTGTGTCGCCTGCAGACTTGGAGTTATTACATTTAGTTTCTCTTATATTGTGAATAGCTGAGGCCCAAGCACTGATCCCTGTAGTACTCTACTAGTCACTAGCTGCAATGCAGTAAAAAAGACCCTTGCTTTTTCCTACTCGTTTCCTGTCTGCCAATCTATGTCAATACATCACCCCTAATCCTATGTACTTTAATTGTCCGTACTAATATCTTACGTGAGACCTTATCTGAAGCTTTCCAGGTCAATGACTGGCTTCCCCTTATCAACTCTACCAGTTACATCTTCTGAATTCGTCGATTTCATCAAGCATGATTTCTCTTTCGTAAATCCGTGTTCTGTCTGATCCTGTCACTGTTTTCCAAGTGTTCCATTATTGAATCTTTTATAACAGACTTTAGCTTTGCTCCACTAACAATATCAGGCTGACTGTCTGATTCCCTGCTTTTTTTCCCTCTGCCTCAATTTTTTTAAAACATTGTGGTGTTATGTTAACAATGCCCCAATCCATAAGAACTGTTCCACAGTTGATAGAATCTTGAAAGATGATACCAAAGCATCCACTATTTTTAGGGGCATTTCCATAAAAACTCTGGGATGTTGATTATCAGGCTCTGGGAATTTATCACCCTTAATCCCATCAATTTTCTCTACTAAACTGACTTCCCACAGTTCCTCCCTGTCACCTAAACCTGGTGTTCCCCAACATTTTGGGGATTATATTTATGAAGAGACAACCAAAATGCATGTGTAATTGATCTGCTGTCTTTGTTTCCCCATTGTAACTTACCTTGTTTCTGATTGTAGGGGACTTGCATTTGTCTTCATTAATCTTTCTCTTCATGTTCCTCTGGAAGCTTTTACAATCCATTTGTATGTTCCCACAAGGTTACTCTTGTACTCGAGTTTCACCCTCTTAATCAATCCGTTTGTACTCCTTTGAAATCTAAACTGCTCTCAATCTTTGGGTTTGCTGTGATTTTGGCCTACTTGTCTGCCCCTTCTTTGGATCTAAGTCTATACTTAATTTCCCTTGTTAGAAAACATAGCCCTACTGTAACTGTTTTATTTTTGTGCTAGCATGGAACAAATAATCCATGTTTTTTTTTAAGATGTTCACCATTGCCTATTACCACTGTCATTCCTTTAACTTCCCCCAATTTCTCTCAACCAACTTGTCTCATAACATTGTAGTTTCCTTTTTTTGGATTTAGGACCCTAGTCTCGGAAATAACTGTTGCTCTCCATCTTAATAAAAAAAATTCTATCAGGTTATCATTATTTTCTTCCCAAGGAACCATGTGCAGCTAAATTGCCAATTATTGCTTTCTCATTACACAATACCCAGTCTAGGATGGCCTGTTTTCTATTTGGTTCTGCAGAGTATTGATCCAGAAAACCATCCGTACGTGCACCAGGAATTCCTGCTTGGTGGTATCGTCGCTGATTTGATTTGCCCTATCTATAAGCAGTTTAAAGTTGCCCATAATTATGTCTGTACCTCTATTGTCTGACCCAACATTACGACTGCAGTTTTGGGGGTCTATACAGCTTCAACTATCATTTTCTGCCCCTTTTTGATGTTTGAGATCTACCCCCAACAGATTCCACTTCACCAAAGCTAATATCCTTCCTCACTATTGTATTAATTTAATATTTAACTAGCAATGCTACCCCACCTTTTTCCTTTTTGTCTGTCGTGCCTAAAAACGGAATATCACTGGATATTTAGTTCCCATCCCTGGTCACCCTGCAGCTATGTCTCTGAAATCACAACTACATCGTAACCATTTATATCCATTTGCATCACTAATTCATCCACTTTGAGATTGTTGCACACATTAAGACAAAGGCCTTAAGGCTTGTCGTCTTAGCATTATTAGTATTGTTCACATTATTTTGCTTTGTGCCTGTTTGATTCTTGGTCCTTTAATTCTCTGCCTATCACTTATTTTCCATTCTGTCTCCTGTCTCCCTGTATAGGTTATCATCTGCCTGTTGTTTTACATAGAGTCCTCTCCAACTGCACTAGTCCAAAGATGTGCAGGCTAGGTGGATTAGCCATGAGAAATGTAGTGTTACTTGGATAGGGGAGGGGCGTGGGTCTGAGTGGGATGCTTTTCAGAGGGTCAATGTGGACTTGATTGGCCAAATGACTTGTCTGCACCTACAGTAGGGATTCTATGAATACTCTCCCTAGGACTTCAGTTCTGACAGGTGCAACCTGTCCAGCGTGTACTGGTCCCACCTCCTCCAGATCTGAACCTAATGTCCCAGGAATCTGAAACCCACACCCTCGCACCATCTCGCTAGCATTGTGTTAGTCTGTTGTGTCCTGCCATTTCTCCTGTGACACTCGTAGCAGTCCTATCTTTTAAGGTCCTACTTAACTTGCTCCCTAACTCCCTACATTCTACTTTAATGTTTTTTTACCCATATCATTAGTACTGATGTGTATTATGACTACTGGCATTTCGCCCTCCCACTCGACAATGTCCTGTACCTGCCCCAAGACATCCTTCACCTTCGCACGTGTGTCTTGGTCGCCACAGGAGCGTCTGTTTATTCCTGTTGTAATTGAATCCCTTGTTACTCCAGCTTTCCCACACTAGTTCCTCCTCTACCGTGCAGCAGAGTTAATCATGATGCAACAAATTTGGCTATTGTTACGTTCCTCTGAGAGACTTTCTGTCCAATAATATCCAAAGCAGTGTATCTTGTTTAGCAGTGCAATGGCGACAAAGGACTCCTGCACTGATGACGAGTCTCATTAATCTGCGTGATGATCATCTATTCCCTCCCTACCTGTGCTGTCTGAGCCTACAGACTCACTACCTTTGACACACTCTCAGCCTTGTGATGCTGCATGTCATCTCTGGGTAAAGCTCCAACTCTGAAACCTGGATTTCCAGGAGCTGCAGCTGGACGTGATTCCTGCGCATGTTCTGGCCCTGGGTGCTGGAACTGCCCAACTTCCTACATAGAGCAGGAGGAGTACTCCATAGCTTTGAGCTCTGTTTTCATGCTTTGCATTACCAATTGAATTACTCCCTTTAGATTGCCCATAAAATCAAATACTAACTACTTTAGGTCCCTTCTCTGAACCTAAACTGAAGACCTCATAAAACCACTGGGGAGTCCTTATTGCCTTCTCTTTCAAGCTGACAAATGAACAGTCATGTTGTTTGTGTTAGGTTTATCATTACCCTGAGCTTTTAAATATCTGATTTATAGTTAAGTTGGTTAAATTGTGAATAATCTAAAGATTTGGTGCTGAAGTTCCCATTTATTTGCTGCTATACTTCTGTCAGTAGTATGGGCAGTTATACGTGTGGGATAAAGCATGTTCAGTCATATGTAACTGAAAGACACTACAGTTGTTTTTAACAGAACTAGCAATGACTGTACAAAAATCCTTTTATTTCACTTGTATCCATCATCCAATTTGCTGTAGGGATAATGGCATTTGTTACTTAAATTTCTATTACAATTTGATCGATATATTACTAACGTTTTAGTGCATATCAAATCTGCAACAACCTATTTGAAGAAACATCCTGAATCTCTTGAATCAGGTTTGTTTGTGACTTACTACTTGGAATCATAAATTGGATACCCAGCCCATGCTCCCTCTTTCCTGCACGTGCCTGCGTGTGTGTCCCCTCTCCGGGATCGTGATCTGTGTGTCAGTAAGTTTGAATGCTTCAGGTTCGAAGTGAGTTGAACCTTATTTTTGTGCATCAACATGTGCTGCCATTTTTAAGACAATTTTTTGTTCTTTTTCTTTAGCACAAAGGCCCGTACATCTGCTTCCATTATCCTGCGTGGAGCAAATGATTTCATGTGTGATGAGATGGAGCGTTCTGTCCATGATGCACTCAGTGTGGTCAAGAGAGTTTTGGAATCCAAGTCGTTAGTACCAGGTGGTGGTGCTGTAGAAGCTGCACTCTCCATCTACTTGGAGAACTATGCAACTAGTTTGGTATGAGTCTGGTTTGGATATTTCTTCAGAAAGAATTCCAGATATTTTCTCCTCCCTGATCATTTAAATTGTTTTGGCATCATTAACCCAAATTGAAAATTCAGAGCTCCTAAGTTTATTTTGACCAAACATTAATAATTATGGTAGTGTAAAATACAACATCTTTACTATCAAATTTGCTGCAAGAGAATCTTAGTTGAATGTGGTGGGGTAGATAGGGAAATATGAAATTGTAGACTGAGATTTCGATGGAAGAGCAGGATAACACTAACCCTTTTTTATCTCTGTACTAAGATAATATTTAATCAAATGGAAATTTTTTTAAAAGTAGTCTGACTTATGAATAAATTTAGTCGTCACTGATCTATTGTGTCTGTTTAGTTGTAGTATTGGGTGGGAATTGTCATGAAATTAGTAAGTGTAATTGAGGAATTTTATTGTTCAGGGATCACGTGAGCAGCTTGCAATTGCTGAATTTGCCCGGGCTTTGTTGGTTATTCCAAAGACACTGGCAGTAAATGCAGCTCAGGATTCTACAGATCTGGTTGCTAAGCTCCGTGCATTCCACAATGAAGCCCAGGTAAACCCAGAACGTAAAAGTCTGAAATGGTAAGTATAACTTTTTTTCCTTTGGGTGGTTTCTTGGCTTGGCTTATTTTCACCCACTCAAAAGTATTGTTTCCCCAGTATTCTGAGTTTCTATAGGTAAAGCATTGCTCAAACATACCAATTAGGAGTAGGAGTTATCATTCAGCCCTCAAAAGTCTGTTCTATCATTTGATATGATTATAGCTGATCTGATTTGGAGCCCCAACATCCACATTCCTCTCCAAGATAACAAGGTGTAGAGCTGGATGAAGACAGCAGGCAAAGCAGCATCAGGGGAGCAGAAAAAGGGTCTAGACCTGAAACATCAGCTTTCCTGCTCCTCTGCTGCTTGGTCTGCTGTGTTCATTTAGCTCTACACCTTGTTATCCACTATCTCTGAACCACATTCCTATCTACCCTTGATACTCTTAAGTTCCTTGTTACTGAAAAATCTCTATCTCTGCCCTAAAATATTCAATGATCTTGCTTCTGCTGTTGCTCTGGGAAGCAGAATTTAACAGACTCTCATCCTCTTGGATGTCTTTAAAAATTTGTACATGGGATTTTGGTGTTGTTGGCTGGGCCAGAATTTATTTCTCCATCCCTCCTGTCCTGGAGGTGTTGGTGATGAGCTGCTGCCTTGAACCTCAACAGTCTTTAGGTCTGTAGAGTCACCTACAAAGCTTTTGGGAAAGGAGTCCCAGGTTTTGGACATGGTGACAACGCAGGAACAATATAGTTTCAGGTTGAAGTGGTGCCTGACTTGGAGGGAACCTTTCAAGTTGTGTGTTTCTATGCATTTGCTGTCCTTGACCTTCTCACTGGCTGGGTAGACATTATAAGGAACCTTGATGATCTACAGCGATGCATCTAGATGCAGATCCTCGCAGGTATTTTTTCCTTGTCTCTTATTTTTAAATTGTCTCCTAATTCTAGCCTCTCCCAGAATGAGAACTGTAGAACCTTTGTTTCAATGAGAACACGTCAGTCTTCTAAACCCAGGAACAACCCTTTCCCACCAAATAATCCCCTTCGTTGCAGGAATCAATAACATTAACCTACTCTGCTGTACTTCTAATTTTGTCGTTTCCTGAATAAGATGGTCAAAACTGTACACAGTACTGTAGATGTGCTCACCAACGTCCTCTGTAACTATAGCAAAATATCCCTACTTCTATATTTCATTCCTCTTGCCTTCCTAATCAGTTTCTGTACTGCATACTGATTTTTTGTGACTCCCAGATCCATCTATTTCTGAGTTCTGCATTTAATTAAGATATTGCTGTCCTTTCTACCAAAGTGGGCAAGTTTCAGTTTCCCACATTATGCTCCATTTGCCAATTCTTTGCCCCCTCGTTTCACCATTTGCAGATTCCTTATGTCCTGATTTATTACTTATTTATCATTGTCATGAGCAAATTTAACAACCATTAAAACCCCCTCATCCAAGTCATTGATATGCCTTGTAAAGATGTGGCCCCAGTACTTTTGTGTATGGCACTCCAGTGGTTATATCTTGCCAACCCCAAAATAACCCATTTATGTCTACTTAGCTTCTTGTTAGCTAATCAAGCATCTATCCAAGTTGATAGCTTATGTTCTCCCACAATGGGTACTTATTTTGTTTAGCAGCCTTGGTGGTACCTTGTCAAGTGCCTTTTCAAAAGTCAAATAGACTACATCAATGGATTACAGAGCTCTTAACAAATCACATACTATTTCCCATTCACAGAACCACAGTAACTTTGTTTTCATTGATAATGATATGTGGGCATTGCTAGCTAGGCCAGCATTTATTGCCCAGATGGCAGTTAGAGTCAACCACATTGTGGTGGCTCTGGAGTTGCATATAGTCCAGATTAGGTCCAGGCAGCACATTTCCTTCCCTAAAAGGCATTAATGAACCAGATGGGTTTTTATGACAATTTGACAGTGGTTACATGATTTTCATTAGCTATCATTGAGTAGAATAGAATCCCTACACTGTGGAAATAGGCCATTTGGCTCAACAAGTCCATACTGCCCCTCCGAAGAGTACACACTCAGACCCATCCCCCTACCCTTTCCCTGCATTTCCCATGTCTAATCCATCTAATTTGCACATCTATGGACATGATGGGCAATTTAACGTGGCCAGTCCACCTAACCTGCAAATCTTTGGACTGTGGGTGGGGAAACTGAGGCACCTGGAGGAAACGCACGCAGACATGGGGAGAATGTGCAAACTCCACACAGACATCGCCTGAGGGTGGAATCAAACCCGGGTCCCTGGTATTTGTGAGGAAGCAGTGCTAACCACTGAGCCACTGTGCTGCCTACATTCCACACTTTGAAACTTCATTTTACTGAAAAGTTCTGCTTGATTGCATTGTGATTTAATAAGTGCCCTGCTACATATCATGGTTTTATGATTTAAAACCACCTTCATAGTTGCCAACATTTTTCTTTTGACAACTGTTAGGCTGACTGGTCTGTATTTTCCTGTTTTCTGCCTCCCTTCCTGATTTGGATTTATTTTTCAATCTGCATCCACTCCTGAGACCCTAGGATAAAATCCATCAGGAACTCTAAGCTTTGAAATCTAATTTTTCTCAATTTGTAATTGTTTTAGTTTCCTCCCTTCCTTTCATCTCATGACTGAGCAATATTTTTGTGATGTGATTTGCAGACTGTGTAGAAGATGCAAAGCATATGTTTAATTTATCTGTAATTTCCTTATTTCTATTTTCCGGGCCTATTTTCTAAGAGGACTACTGTTCAGTTTAAGTATTTGACCTGTAGAAATTATTGCTGTTTTGTATTTCTAGCTAGCTAGCTATCTCTTATACTCTAATGCCCCTCTCATTTTTAATTAATCTTTGCTTTTTTTAGTATTCTGGCCAAACTTCAGACGTTTCACTTAATCTCCTTTCTTTCAATTTGATGCCATGTATCAAGTGTTATAGATAGGATAAGTGAGGGGGCAGAACCTTGGTGGATAGAATATAATGTGGTGAAATGTGAGTTTAGCAGGAAAAAAGCAGAGCTGAATGTTATTTAAATGGAGGAAGACTGCAGAAATGTCTTTGGGATTTGGGAGTCTTTGTGCATCAATCACAAAAGGCTGGCATCTGAGTTCAGCACATAATAGGGAAGGCAAATGGAATGTTGGCCTTTATTTCAAAAGGAATGGAGTATAAAAGTAGGGACGTTTTGTTAAAACTATACACTGCATACTGTGTACAGTTTTGGACCTCCATCTCAGGAAAGATGTACTGGGGTTAGACAGTCCAGAAAAGGTTCACCTGATGGTGAGTATGACGAATAGATTAGGCCTGTGCTTCTTGGAATATAGAAGAATGAGACACAGCCTTATTAAAACATACGAGATTCTTAAAGCACTTGACACAGTAGATGCAGGGTGGTGGAAAGGCTAGGACCAGAGGGCATATTTTCAGATGAAGGGGTCGCTCATTTGAGACTGGTGAGGAAGAATTTCTTCTGAAGGTAGTGAATTTGTGAAACTCATTCGTTATATACAAGGTTGAGATAAATTTTTAAACAGTAAGAGAATCAAGAGTTCTGGGAAGAAGTTGGGGATTATCAGATTAGCCATGATTTCATTGAATGGTGAAGCAGACTCAGTGGGCTGAATGGTCTATTTCTATGCTGAAGACAGACTTTTGCCCCACAATGTAAATAAATCAAAAGAAAATTTCTCATTTCATGTTTATACACTAGTACTAACTTGTAATCTGAAAATAACAGGTGATCTGTGTGCACAGATCCAAGCAATCCCAAATGTCTATTCTTCCTTTGAGCTCAGTTCTTGCGTGTTGCCACTCTAAATCAACTGCAAACTAGCATACATCATGGCCAAGCTCTGAACTTTTACCAGTTAGGTTGGATCCCAACCACTGCCATGGCTAAGGCTGAGCAATAGTTGATTTGAATTTGATCTAGTCTCTTAGCTTGAATATGTATGTGGTATTTCTAGCCTAGAGGAAACATATCCATATTTTGTTTTAATTGTAAATGAAAAATGATCTTAAAGTTCCGGTTCATTTTTGAAACCGTTAAAACATGGGATTCTGGTTTTTGATCCACTAGAATTGGTTGTATATTCATGCTTTGAATTAATGTAATTTAGCTTTATTTTAGTCAATTACTTTGAGTTTAATTTAAATTTTTTGGGCTTTAGAATTGACTAAAATAATAATAATGAAGATTGCCTGTTTGGACTTCAGATTTTTTTTAATGTGTTCATGGGTTGTGGGTGTCAGTGGGAGGGCTGACCTTGGTTGCCCATCCCTAATTGCCCTTAATGGCACTCTGGACCATTTTGGGGGGGCATGTCTTGCATTAAATACAGGCTAGACTTGGTATGGATAAATTGCTGCTACAGAGTGTGTGTGCAGGAATGATAGGCCAAATGGCCTTGTGTGCTGTAGATCTCCTTGCAGGTTTGCTGCTCTGTGTTCTCTCGCTGTTTATTCAATAACCCCAATAGCATAATCAGACTCTTTCTTTCTCAATCTAATCACCTGGATTTTTTCGTTACCCCTTGAGGATATCCAGTATTCTCTGATGACTTGTCACCCACCTTTTTTCTTAAACCTTTTCTGAATGTTGTACATCCTCGTGTATTAAACATGCAGCTCTCACCATCTAACTAAAGACTAATTATTTTACCTCCTCCTCAAGTGATTTATAATATAATATTTTCAGGTTATATCCAACTAAAGTTCATTTGGGTGTCTTTTAATGGTTGCCAGTTGTTCTCTGGTTATGTGGATTGGTTTCCTATTTGAACCAAGCACACCAGTTTGCTTTTTCTTGCTCAGGATTGGTCTCGATTTAGTGAATGGAAAACCAAGGGACAATAAGCAAGCTGGTGTTTTTGAGCCGACCATGGTCAAAACAAAGAGCCTGAAATTCTCAACAGAAGCTGCAATTACCATTCTTCGCATTGATGACCTCATTAAACTTTATCCAGAGGACAAACAAGACAAAGGAAAGAGTTACCATGATGCAGTTCAAAGTGGAGAGCTTGATGGTTGAAGAATTGAAGTTTTAAATGTTATGTTTATAGCTGCAGTATTTGTTGGATTATTATTAGTATTTTTACAGAAAGCAAAATACGAAGTAAATTTTCCCGCTTTCTGCTTTCACTTGTAGCTATAGTGAATATTTAATTATTTCTAGTACCTGCATATTCCACTCAGGAAAAATATCTCTTTCTTTGAAACTTGAAAATTGCTTGCATAATACTTTGTTTTCTTGCACTGGATTGACATTCATGTCTTGAATAAAGCTGTCAAACTTCTTTGTTACCATTTTTGCTTCTGTATCTATCATAACATTTTCAGATGATTGAACTTTGTTCAGTACCATTCATGACCACTCAGATACTGAAGTAATCCATGTCCAAATGCAGCAAAACCTGGGTTAACAAGCGGCAAGTAACATTCATACTGCAGGCAATGACTACTTCTAACAATAGAGTATTCCCTTTTGACATTCATTGGTATTACCGTGCTTGATTTCCCACTGTCAACATCCTGAATGTTAGTATTGATCAGAACATGAACTGGACTAGCCATACAAATACTGTGGCTACAGGAGCTGGTCAGAGGCTAGGAATCCTGCAACAAGTAATTCATCTCCTGACTACCTAAAGCTTGTCCACGATTTGCAAAGCACAAGTCAGGAGTGTGATGGAATCACCCATAGTTGCTAGGATAAGTGAGCTCCAAGAACACTCAAGGACCTTGACACCATTCATTACATAAAAACATAGAAAATAGGTGCAGGAGTAGCCTGTGTCACCATTCAATATGATCATGGCTGATCGTGTAATCTCCGCATCCCATTCCCAATCTTGATTCCTTTTGCCACGGGGGCCACGTCCAGTTTCGTTTTGAATATATCTAATGAACTGGCCTCAGCAGCTTCCTGTGGGAAGGAATTCCACAGCTTCACAACTCTTAGCAAAGAAACTTCCTCCTCATCTCAGTCCTGAATTGTCCTGACCCCTTATTCTTAGACTGTGACCCGTAGTTCTGGACTTCCCCAACATAGAGAACATTATTCCTGCATCGAGCTTGTCCAGTCCCATTAGGATTTTGTTTCTGAGATCCCCCTCATTCTTCTAAATTCCAGCAAGTATACAGTGTGAGGCCACACCTTGAGTATTGTGTGCAGTCTTGGTCTCCTACTCTGAGGAAGGACATTCTTACTGTTGAGGTGGTCCAGTGAAGGTTCGCCAGACTGATTTCCTGGGCTGGCAGGACTGACACATTTGGAAAGACTGGATCAGGAATCATGAACAGCAACTAGCTACCATGAGCCATAACCAGCTACCACTCATTTCATTATGGATGGACAAAGAGGGACACTAATTTGACTGGGACAGCATCATCTTCCAAGGATAAGCCAAGCAATGACACACATGAGAATTCTTGGAAGCCTGGTACTCAAACTGGAACTCCATCAACAAAGAGATAAAGGAGCTGGAGGAAACAACAGGAAAGTTGACGTTTTGGGTTGGGACCCTTCAGAAATGGGGAGGGGGAAGGAAGCTCAGAAATAGAGGAGGGGTGGGGCTGGAGAAGGTGGTGGGATGTGATAAGTGAGTGCAGGTAGGAAGTGGTGGGGATTTGCCAGTGAGGTGGGAGGGGTGGATAGGTGGGAGAGAAGATGGACGAGAAGACGGACAGGTTGTGTCAGGTCAAGGAGGTGGGGCTGAGAGGGAGGGTTGGACTTTGGCTGAGGCTGGGGTTGGGGAGATTTTAAAGCTAGTGAATTCTATGTTTAGGCCATCAGGCTGTAGGGTCCTGAGGCAGAATTTGAGGTGCCGCTCCTCTAGTTTTTGCAGGTGGCGTCATTTGTGACACTGGAGGAAGCCCAGGATGGACATGTCGTCCAGGAAGGGGGAGTTAAAACGGTTTGCGACAGGAAGATGTTGTCATTTGTCATGTACAGAGCGCAGATGCTTTTACAGAACAGTCTCCGAGTCCCTGTTTGGTGTCGCTGATGTAGAGGAGGCCACATCGGGAGCAGCGGATGCAGTAGACCAAGTTGACAGATGTGTAGGTGAACCCATCTGATGTGGAAGGTTTATTTTGTGCCTTGAATGGAGGTGAGGGGGGAGATGTATGGGCTGGTGTAGCACTTTCTGTGGTTGTGGGGAAATGTGCGGGGGTTGGTGGGGTTAGTTGGGAGTGTGGAGTGGACCAGGGAATCGCAGAGAGCGCGGTTCCTATGAAAGGCAGATAGGGTTGGGGAGGGAAATATATCTTTGGTTGTGGGGTTGGATTGTAGGTGGCAGAGAATAATACGTTGGATGCGGAGGTTGGTGGGGTGATATGTGAGAACAACGGGGATTCTGTCTATTTTTGTTGGGAGGAGGCGATGTAAGGCAGAGGTGCAGGAAATGCAAGAGATGTGTTTGAGGGCATTTTCAATCAGTAGCGGGGGAAGTTACGGCCTTTGAAATAGGAGGACGTCTGGGATGGGCGGGAGTGGAATTCCCCTTCTTGGGAGTAGACGCAGTGGAGGTGGAGGAATTGGGAGTAGGGGATCGCATTTTTTGCAGGAATGCAATCAACAAACAGAATTGGACCCCATATACAAACTTGTACAGAACAAAACCGGAAATGACACAACTCACCATAACAGACAGACAGACAGTATAAATTCCAAGCAGAGTGGAACAACATTGCTTCATTAGAGGCCTCACTGATAATGTTACCTAGCATGGTGACGAAACATCTGAATGAAAACAAGCCAGCTTGGCGAGCAAGTCAACAACCTCGCCCACAACCTGAGCGACAAATCTTTACTAAAATCTTAAATACCTACGGGCACAACACCTCTAAAAATTGCCCGACAATGGGAAACCTTCACCAACTGATTGAGTGCTACCCGCGAACAACTTCACTTTCTCCACGAATGCCTCAAGAACCAGGTACTGCCCGCAGCGTGACATACAAACCTCTACTCAACAACCCACAGGCATACAAAATAGCTGAACAGAATGGACGCAGAATGCTACGAGTTATGATTAATAATGCCCATAACTGACTCTACAAGTAAGAATCGAAAATGTTGCGCCAAAAATCACAGTACCTAAACACTACAGACCAGCAATGGACTACAAACCTAGAACAGGCCATCACCATCAAACAACACAGGACTAAAACGAAGAAGAGACACCAGTTACAGGAGAAACCTACCAAAGTGACCCACCACAAAGACAAGGACAACAACAAACCGGACACATGGATAAGAAACCTATTCCAGCAGACGACTTACAGAAACTACACGGACTAAACTATAACCACAAAGATACGAACAGAACAGACTTCATGGCCGAGAGATAGTAAGAAGTGCCAATGCTGGAGTCTGAGGTAACATAGCGTGGAGCTGGAGGAACACAGCAGGCCAGGCAGCATCAGAGGAGCAGGAAAGTTGATGTTTTGGGTCGGGACTCTTCTTCAGAAATTGGCCGCCCTGGAAACTACATTAAAAGATAACAGGTCCACGGATGAAACACAACAAGCCATCCAACAAACTATAATCCCCACGCTAAGCCGAAAGAATGAATGGGACACCCTGAACACATCAGAGGAAAAAAAGCACTAGAAAAACTCAAGAAAGACAAAAACATTAAATCCTACCTGCAGACAAAGGGTGCATGACCGTCATTATGAACAAACTGGACTACGTTGAGAAAGCACAGGCGCTGCTCGCAGATACACTTACCAGCAGGTGCCGATAGATCCAACACTGCAGCTAAGTAATAGGATCACCCAGACACTGAAGAGACTAAAGGATGTAGGACAGATAACCAAGACAGACTACGTGAAAATGAAACCAGAAGGCATGAACACCACCCACTTCTATGGACTTCCTAAAGTACACAAATTAGACATCCCCCTCAGACCCATTGTCTCCCTACCGGGCACACCTTCACACAAAGTGGTCAAGGACCTACAACAGAGACTGAAACACTTAGTCAACGGATCATCCCATTCCATCCACTCAACCCAAGAATTGCTCAATACCCTCAAGAACATAAAAATCAGCGACGACGAGAGTATGATATCCTTTGATGTCACAGCATTATTTACGTCAATTGACATCCCAAAAGAAACACTGGCCACATTATTAGAGGAAGCAGTAACGCAGACTAGCCGCTCCATCAGCAATGACAACATACTCAAACTACTAGACTTGTGCCTCACCACACACTTCATCTTTAATGGTCAAGTATACAAACAGATCAATGGCACATCCATGGGGTCACCCATCTGAGGACTCATTGTAGAGGCAGTCATACAAAGACTACACCACGCTACCCTCCCCCTCATTCAACCTAAACTGTAGATCCGGTACATGGATAACACATTTGTCATCATTAAACGCACCAAACTAGAAGAGACCCACCACCTTATCAACAATATATTCACTGGAATTAAGTTCACGAGAGAAGAAGAAAACAACAATCAGCTTCCGGTTCTGGACGTCAGAATTGAACATATAACCAACGGGGAGTTCCAAACCTCGGTAATACAGGAAAGCAACCCACACTGACCAAATCCTCAACTTCCACAGCAACCACCCTAACGCCCACAAACAAAGCTGTGTTAGGACACTATTTAAATGGGCCACCACTCACTGCAGAACTACACATGCCAGAACTATGCAGGAAGGAGGAAGAGCACCTATACAAAATCTTCGCTATGAACCGATATCCCCACAACTTCATCTGCAGGTGCCTACTAAATAGACAACAACAAGAAGACACAGTACGCCCTAACACACTGGCCACACTGCCCTAAATCAAGAACATATCAGAACTGACAACAAGCCTCCTACGACCACTAGTGATCATGGCAGGACACAAGCCCACAGCCACTCTACGACAAACACTCACAAGGATTAAAGACCCCGTTCCCATAACATGCAGAACTAACGTAGTCTACAAACACCATGCAACGACAGCCACAAGCGTTACATCGGACAGACAGGAAGGAAACTAGGCATCAGAATACACAAACACCAGCTAACAGCAAAGTGACAATGACGAACTTTCCTTAATATCAGTACACTTGGACGATGAAGGCCATCTGTTTAACTGAGACAATGTAACCATAGTAGCCCAAGCCAAACACAGACATGCACAGGAGTTCCTAGAGGCATGCTTCTCAGCCTGTAATTGCAATCAACAAACATATAGAATTGGACCCCATATACAAACCCATACAGAACAAAACCAGAAATGACACAACTCACCATAACAGACTGGACAGTATAAATTCC